GGCAGGAGCCGGGCAGGGATGCTCCCGCCCTCCCGGGAGGCCGCGGGCCCCGCCACCTGCTCGCTGGGGAAGGTAGGTGCCGGGAAGGGGAGCCGGGAGGAGGCGAGACCGCAGCCCGGAGGGATCCGCGCCCGACCCGAAGGGACGGCACAGAGCCCCTCCCCGGGGTCCCCGTTCCAAATTCTGAGGTGGGAAGGGGTGAGAAGTTCCCCCACTGTGATCCAGAAAAAGCGAACTATCCTTGCCCACGTGGACTTGTAACTGGAAAATACCTTGGAGATCTGGTAGGATCAAGCCCCTAAGGTCAGAGCCACGTTCGGAGGTAGGAAGGAGTCTGCCAACTACAGCAGAGCAAGTTTGTCTCTTGCAGCCCTTTGGAGCTGGCTGCCTGGGTGAAAAGCGCTGCCTGGATTCTGGAGGACCCAGAGATGTCCAGACACCCTCTGTCCTCTGCTAGATGGGGCACCAATTCCCCAGGATGCCACCATCTTCCCTATGAGAAGTCCTCCCTAATATCTCCTGACAGGGCTGCCAAGAGAAAAACACGGACCACCCTTCCCACCCCATCCCTGCATACCCCCCGGGGGTGTCCTCACGTGGAGCAGAGCTGGGGGGGCGGGGCAGATTGGGGCACCAAGGGTCAGCAGCCCCTGACAAATGGTGTTGGGGGAACCTCCTGCCCTGGCCATCCTACAAGAGAACAGTTCTCCCTGAGCACAGAGGAGTGGGACTGGAGGCTAGGGAAGGAAGGCCTAGTCAGCTGATGGTCAGGACTGCTGATGCTGACCTGGCAACTTGGTCTCAAGCCATCAGCTGGGTAGGGAGGGGTCGCTGCTAGGAACTAGCTGCCCCAGGCTTCCTGATCTTCCACTCTGCTCTGCCTCAATTTCCTCCACAAGGGGAGGCACAGCAGTGGGAACTGCGGTGTGTCTTCGTGTTTTGCTTTGGTAGGAGTCCTAAGTCCTTTGGTGAGCTGCCCCTCCTCCTGCCTCAGCCCTCCACTCCCACCGTCGTCAGGGATGGGCATGGAAAAGCTGTGCCCCAGTAGGCTGCTCAAATGTCAGAAGGGATCCCCACAAACTCAGATCAGAGACAGGGAGCTGTCCCAGCCTTGTCTGTACTCCTGCCAGCCCCCTGGGGCCTGAGCAGACACTGGGCACAGATGAGTAATCACAGTCTCCTATTGTACCTTCATCCCCTCAGGTCCCCCAAACTCTTGTACTACTCATATGACGGCCCACTGCACACACACCCTGTTCAGCTGACACCCTTCTGTCCCCACAGCCCCTGTGCTGTTCACATGATCCCGCCCCTCCACGAGCATGAGCAGGTCTGACTTCATGCTCACCCATTGCTCCTCTGTCCACTCCAGCCTTCACTGGCACCCTGGGCCCTCTGAGTCTTTGGTCTGAGAAAGGAGCTGATACGGCCAAAGAAAGGAGCTGATACTCCCTTTGAGCTCAGAATGAGAGGTTTCTGCTGCCTGGCGATGTCCCTAAGCTCTCCTTGGCCCTGTTAGGGCTTAGGCGCTTGAGGCTGCTTCCCAGTGGGCAGTGGGCGGGTGGCCTTGTAGGTGGCCAGGACCTCTCCCATGGCCTGAGTAACCTCTTGTGTCCATGGGCAAGCAGATGCTCACACAGGGCCTGGGGGAGGCAGAGGGAACTGAAACAAAGTCCCGGGTGCCCAGCAAACCCCCCGCCCTCCAGCCAGCTGCCCCAGTTCCTCTGTGCCTTCCCTCTAGAGGAGCAGACTGCACTGTACAGGGAGAGCCCCAGAGGGGCTGGCCAGCAGGCCTGTTCCTGGCCAGCCTCCCCTCCCTGCCTCCTCGCCTGGGCCTTCCCCTCCCCCACTCCCACCCAGTGCTCCTGCCCAGGGCCTAACAAGCAGCCTATTGTACCTCTGGGAGCCGGCACGGGCAGCCTGCAGGCGGGTGCCTGGAGTGGCCTGTTTCCTGGGTCCTTGAGCTCCCACCAGCTGGATCCAAACCTCCCACCACCGCAGCTAGCCCCTCCTCCCCTAGCCCAGGGTCGAGACAAGAGGGCACAGGCAGCCTGGCCCAGCAGGGCTTTCCCTTCCTTCCTCCTTCCCCAGAGGACACGCAGAGGAGCAGCCGGCACACCTGGAATCCTCTGACCTCGACCCAAGCATGCAGGGCCCACCCTGCAGCCCCCCTGCTGGGCTCAGCCTGGATGACTTCATCCCTGGCCACCTCCGGGCCCACATAGGGTCATCCTCCAGGGGGACACGGGTAAGAGAGCAAGGGAGAGGGTGCACGACCCAAGCATGCAGGGCCCACCCTGCAGCCTCCCTGCTGGGCTCAGCCTGGATGACTTCATCCCTGGCCACCTCCGGGCCCACATAGGGTCATCCTCCAGGGGGACACGGGTAAGAGAGCAAGGAAGAGGGTGCGCTGTGGGCCCACAGTTGTTGGGGATGCTCGCAGGTCAGGTGGGGAGCAGGAGGACTAAAGGGATGGAGGGAGGGAAGGGAGGGGTCTGAAGAGAGCTCCAGAGAGCCTCGCTGATTACCCAAAAAAAGGTCAGGCTGGTCCTCAAAGCCTCACCGGGGGTTGTGGGCTGTGCCTGATACCTGTCCCTCCCACCCTTCTGTGGGAACTGCTGGGCCCTGAGCTGCTGCTCCTGGCCCCTCCCCACAGGTGCCTGTGATCCGGAATGGTGGCTCCAACACCCTTAATTTCCAGTTCCATGACCCTGCGCCCAGGACTGTGTGCAATGGCTACTTGCCATCCAGGAGAGATGCTTCCCAGCACCCAGGTGGGTCGGTTCAGGAAAAGCTACTCCAGGAGCTCAATGTAGGGGTCAGGGGTCAGAGCCCCCTGGGCCCTGCCATCTGGCACCACTCCATATGAAGCAGTAGTGGCAACAGAGGGGGCTGAGGGAGTTAAGGCCACCACAAGTTCCCCCAGGGGCTCTGAGCTTAGCTTGCTGACCCTGCCGGAGAAATCCCTGGGGTAAGGGATGTGGCTGACACATCCCTTCCCCTCCCCTCCTGCTCAGTGCCAGGGGAAGGAAGTGTGCAGGAGCCATAGCCTTTGGGGTCAGGGGACCTAGCGCAGGTTGAAGGGTGGATGGAATGTGAGCATACGCTGGCTCTCAAAGGGGTGCGGCCTGATCCCTATTCAGGCCCTAAGGGCTGCTCCTGTCTGTGCTCATGCAGCCCAGCAAGAGTTTGGGGAGGCTGCTCTGAGAGTCTGCCAGCCTAGGTCCCCGGGTCTGGAGATCCTGGAGCCCCTGGGAACTTCGGGGTGCGGGCCAGCCCTGAGCACCCCTCCCCTGAGGAGTGTGGCATCCTCTACAGAGCATTCCCTTGAGGCAGGCAGTGTATAAAGGAGTTTATTCATTTAACAAATTATTGAACATGTAGAGCATGCTGGGCACTGTAAAGACACTTTACAAGCCTCACCTCATTTAATCTCTCCATATCTTGGCAAAACAAGGTAGGGTTATTGACATCTTCCCAGTGAGGAACCCCAGTCTCGGGGATGTTCAGTGGCAGAAACTGAGCTGAGATTCAAACCCTTGTCTGACTGCCCTGAAGCCCTTATGCTGCTACACAGCTCTGCCACCTACTGGCTGTGTGACCTAGGGCTACTTAGGGGCAAAAGGGTCTGGGGAAATTGAGGCTAGGTAGCCGTGACTGGGGAATGAGTTTCTGTCTTTCATCAAGGGCCTCTTAATCTTGTGTCAGGCACTGTGCTGGGTGCAGCACACCCACTACATCTCACTGAATCTTTGCCACGATTACCCTTGTATAGAAGTGGAAACTGAGACACTGAGAGGGTGATTGATTGCTTTAGGTTACACAGACGGTCCGTGGCAGAGCTGGGTCTGAATTCAGGTCTGTCCCCTCCAAGCCTAGCGTCTTTTCTGCCACACCCCAGCTGAGACGTCCGCAGCATTCTCTACAAGTAATGATTCCCAGCTCTCATTCTGAAAACCCTTAGGACAGTCCCAGGAAAGCAGGATGGGGTGGGGAGAGGCACAGATTTCTCAAAACAAAATCCATTTTAATTCAGTTAAAATAATAAACAGACAGAGGCCCTTGGTGCTGCTAGGGATGGGGGATTTGTAGAGTCTTCGTCATCCACCCAAATAAACAAGATGTTGAAACTTTCGAAACCACGGGGATCAATGTTCTGATGAACTAAGGGACAAATAAGGTCAGCTGGGGACCTCTGCCTTTTGCTCATGCTCTTCGGCACATGCCCACAGACCCTGCTTGGTATCAGACCTGGCCAGGCCCTGGGAGCCGGCCCTCCGTGAGCCCGAAGACCCCTGCCTCCCAGCATGCCCAGAACTGGTCAGCCACATGGACGAAGGACAGCAAGCGGCGGGACAAGCGCTGGATCAAGTACGAGGGAATCGGGCCTGTGGACGAGAGCGGCATGCCCATTGCCCCCCGATCCGTGAGTCCAGGGCTGGGGGCCACGGACGGATGAGGCCCAGGGACCTACACTGAGCTCCACTTCTATGAATTACAGTGGGGGTGGGGTGGGCCAATCAAGGCTGTGCCCAAAGCATTGCAGACAAAGCAGGTGTTCAACTGTCATGGGTTTTGGGGACTCACGAACCCTATAAAGCTATGGGTACCCTTTTGTGTCTGGGTTGCATGGGTGGTTGGTGGGGGGGTGGAAGCACAGATCTAGAATTCTTACCAGGGTCTCAAAGGTGGAGAGCCACTGCTGAAAACGCTGTGCCTGGCAGAGACCCCGTCTTAGTTTCGTACACTCCAGGGCCTGGCACAGTGCTCATGAAATGTTTGCCGAACGAACGACTGGCTGAATGAGTGAGGGAGAAAGCTTTGTGCTGTGGCAGGCATGGAAGTATCCAGGGGTCCACCAGATTCGGCTGGGCCCCACCCTTCTTCCACCTGCCTGCCTGTCTTGAGGTAGTCGCGTTTCCTCACTGAGAAACTGGAGTTGGTAACATACCCTTTCGGCTTCCAGAGCTGTCAAGAGACTTGGGTGAGGCAGGTGGTGTGAAATACCATCTCTCCCTTACATTATTACTTTTATTTTTCATTATACAGAAACATATGTTAGAAACGTAGAAAAGCAAAGAGACAAACTGTAAATCACCCCAAATCTCACAACTTAGGGATCATTGTTGTATACTTTGATAGAGATCTTCTATGTATTTTATTCATCTATAATATGCTACATGAAGTTTTTGTTATTAAAGAGATCACAGGAGAGACGTTCCTAACTTAGGGATCATTGTTGTATACTTTGATAGAGATCTTCTATGTATTTTATTCATCTATAACATGCTACATGAAGTTTTTGTTATTAAAGAGATCACAGGAGAGACGTTCCCCAGCCCACTCATTGGGCTGCAAAGGTGGTTGGAGAAAGGACTCACTAAGGAAAAACTATCCTGGCTTGATGTTGGGCATGTAGGTGAGCAAGAGGCCTGACTGAGCGTTTTCTCATCCCAGAGTGTTGACAGCCCCAGGGACTGGTACCGGAGAATGTTCCAGCAGATTCACCGAAAAATGCCAGGTAAGAAACCTTTCAAGGGCCCTCTCCCTGCCTGGGTGTACTCTAGCCCCTGCGACTTCGGGAGGGATGGGCAGAAAAGATGACTTAGGGGGTTCTCTACCTCCCTTCTTCCCCCCCACCTCCCACAGGATCTGTGATGAGTGATCCCTCAAACAGGCCAAAAAAAGGAATCTCCCTTCCCCACCCTATGCTCAGGGCCAGCAGCGGCCTCCAGAGCACCTCAAGAGGACAGCGACCAGTCACTGTCTCCCAGTGTCCTCCGAGGGTACTGGGAAGCCAGTCCTTTCCTGAAATTTTTCTCTGATTCTCCCACCAGGCTGGAATTCCACTTTTAGTGGTCATTCCTCAACATGAAGCATTGTTTTCCCCTACAAGTCAAAATGTAGCCAGTCCTGTGGGGTGCATATGAACTAGCCCCAAGGTCATCTCTTTAAGTATCAATCTGTCCTTGACTCTCTATTGTGTGCTGAGGGACACTCACAATGAACAGATTGACCTTTAGTACAGCAGATGGCGAAAGCGCCAGGGAAAAAAACAAGCAAGGCCAGGGGAGTGCCAGTGCAGGGAGGCTGCCACTTCACCCAGGAGGGTCAGGGAGTGGCATTTGAGCAGAGAGCCCAGGGAGTGGAGAAGCAGCTCAGCAGAGCTTGGGGAGAAGTATTCCAGCAGAGGGAGCTCCAAAGACCCAGAGGCAGAAGCATGCCTGGCATGTTCTGGACCAGCAAGCAGAGTCTGGACTGGAGTGAGCAGGGGTGTGTGGTGGGAGATGGAGTCAGAGAGGCAGTGGGGTCAGGTCACGTGGAGCCATTGGGGCCATTATAAAGACTTTGGCTTTTCCTGTGCAAGAGATGAGGAGCCCCTGGGAGGTTCTGAGTGGAAGAGTGACATGCTCTGAAAAGTGATGGCTGCCAGGTGGAGAAGAGATGGCAGAAGTGGGGGCACCAGTTGTCCTGCTTAGGAAGGGCCAGGGAGAAAAAGGCCCACATTAAAAGTGTGCTTTAATCCAGGCCAGAGACAATAGTGTCTTGGACCAGGACAGTAGCAGTGGACCTGGTTGGACAGAGTGGGATTCTGGATACGTTCTGGGATAGAGTCACTGGAATTTGCTGATGGATTGGATGTGGCATGAAAGGAAGGAGTCGAGGATGATTTTAAACCTAAGCAAGTCTAAGGATAGAGTTGCTATTTGTAGAGACAGGGAAGGCTGCAGGAGGAGCAGTTTTCAGAGACATTCAATTTTAGGTATATGTTACATCTGAGTGGGAATGTCAAGTAGGCAGCTGAGTATGCAAGTCTGTAGTCCAGGGGCAAGGTCAGGCAGACACACCTGGGACTCGGTCAGAAGAGATTTTGATTAAAAGTTCCTCAGGTAGGGCCGGCCCGTGGCTCACTCGGTAGAGTGCGGTGCTGATAACACCAAGGCCACGGGTTCGGATCCTATATAGGGATGGCCGGTTTGCTCACTGGCTGAGCGTGGTGCTGACAACACCAAGCCAAGGGTTGAGATCCCCTTACCGGTCATTTTAAAAAAAAAAAAAAAAAGTTCCCCAGGTAATTCTAATGTGCAACCACAGTGTGAATCATAGGAATAGATGGTATTTTAAAGCTCAAGAGACTTGACAAGATCACCCAGGGAAATGGAGAGACAAAGAGGCTCCAGACTGACCTGCAAGGCACTTGGATGCTTACAAGTTTCAGAGATGAGCAGGAGCCAGCCAAGCAGACTGAGATAGTGCAGCCAGCGAGGCAGGAGGAAGAAAACTAAGAATGGTCTCATGACCCAAGTGAAAAGAGAATGTCGAAAGGAGGAAGTGATCAGCTGTGACAAATGTTGCTGATGGGAAAAGTAAGACTAAGACTTAGAGTTGACCATTAGATTTGGTAACATGGAGGTCACTGGAGTTCTTGATGCGAGTGGTTGGGTAAGCATGGTGGGGCTGAAAGCCTGCTAAGAGAGATGGGGCATAGGGACTGGAGACAGTGAGGTCATTGTGGTCAACTAGTTGACGTCTGCTGCGAGGGAAAGCAGGAAAATCCAAGGTTTTTCTGGATTTTTGCAGTACGTTTGCATGGCAAGAAGATCAAATGGGTCGGCTGGTCAGCAGCTCTTTCCAGGAATTCCCAAGCACTGTGAGGAGTGGGTTGGGGCAAATGGGGAAGTAAGCAAGCAGGAGAGAGTGCAGAAAGGGAAAGAGGGAGAAGAGAAAGTCAGATTTCCCAACCTGACGTGGTGAGGGCAGGTCTGCAAAGGTCAGGAGACCGGTGTGCGTGGGAACAGGGAGGGAGGAGCAGGAGGGTTTGGGCAAGGCGGCTGCCAGGTTGGCTCCCTCAGGCCCCAAGTCTGCCAGAGGCATTTCAAGCCCTCCTGAGAGCTGCCCTCCTAATTCCTTCCCTCCCTCGGGACATTCTTCAGGCCCTGACTCAGCCCTTAGCCTTTGCTCTAGGCGGGAGGGAGGCTGGGAGCGGCTGAGCAGCCTTGCAGGGTGCCCGTCCTCGCTTTCTGCCTCATCCCTGACCTGCTCCTTTCTGCTCCCACAGACCTGCAGCTTGACTGGAACTTCGAGGAACCACCCAAAGGTGAGGGGGTGCGGGCCAACCTGTCTGTCCCCTGGGCACCTGCATTTGCCCCTCCCTGAGGCTGGGAAAGATGTGGCCCCAGCTGACTTTGGGGCTCCCTACTTGGCTTAGTTCAGCTTGAAAAGTTTTTATAGCTCATTTCTGGTGAGCTCCACATCCCCTGGTAGGTGGTAATTA